AGACAATATAGAAATCGTACACGAAAATAAATTTGGAAAAACTCTCTCAGAATTTAAACAATAAAGATCAAGTTACAATAGAAGATGCAAACTCTATTAATCATAAAATTAAGATCCCACCAATTGTTCTATCTGAAGAAAACGCTGAGTGGTTAACACTTGACAAAGCTATAAATAATATATGTAAACAAACACTATAAATAATTACGAAACTCATATGAAGAACGGAGTCACTTTTATACTCTCAAATAATAAGAGATTACAACGAAATTGTTGATTTTCTAGCATTTCGTACACTAGCATTCGTCGTAGTTTTGAGAACACGCCTCAACTCAAGAAAGAAAAATCATCCTAGGAATAAATAAAATTTTTAATTTTCATGTGCACATCCACCTTGGCCAAAACCAAATGTTCGACCCAGAGCTTTAAGTGCCATAGCTTTTCGGACACACGTAGAATAAATGTTTTAATGAGCAACAATGTGTCAAATACATGCAAAACCAAAGAAGATGCCTTTGTAATTTAAAAAAACGAGCAGAAAAGCCTAAATGCATTTTTTGCAAACAGGAACGTATTCGTTCATAGCGTGTATGCTTAAAATTTAAGTAGCGATTCTCAAAAACTCGCAAAGTTGAAGAAAAGCCCCCCCCCCCCAGTATAACGAAAAAAAAACTTTCGCTCCTTGTTGAAATTCAAAAATGCTGGAAACTCATTGTTTACATTGCTTTTTCCTTTTGGTCCATTTTTTTTTTTTTTTTTTTTTTTTTTTTCCCCACAAGTATGAGATTAGAACCACATTGCTTCATTAAATATTTTGTGCTATTTTATTAATATATATATATAATCAAACATTTTTTCTTTGGGCGGTGTATTTTTTTTTCTTTTTTTTTTTTTTGCTCCCATGCGTGGGCCCTTTTTCTTTGGGTCGGTGGCCTGCCGCCCCCCTCGCGTGGCCCCGTTCTTTTGGGGTTGGGTGGGCCTGCCGCTGGCGGCGGTTTTTTTTTTTTTTTTTTTTTTTTTTTTGCTAAATTTTTTTCGCACTTTTCATTTTTTTGGCCAAGCTCCCTAACGAGGATTTCGTCCACTGGACTTACCAAGTGAGATGATGTCGAGTTCGGTAAATAAAATTTCAAAATTTTTTTCATAAATTTCCTTTGAAAAAGTCTTGTGTATTGTTAATTATATTAAATATGCCAATCTTGGGAGTATAAGAGGGAAATAAGGATAATTTATTTGAAACAAATTACACGAAGTGAAGCTTAATTCACTGATAGTTCTGTAAAGCTTACGGAAACTAACGTTATCTGGGTCAGCTATTTTAGCAAAGTTTAACTATGTACTCAGTTGATTTAGATGTAGTAATTTTCGCAAGCATACGAATTTAGCAAAAGTGATTGAAATGTTTCAAAAGACATTTAAAGCCAACGCTTTTCAAATTATGAGTTTTGTAAGAGCATTGGTCTTAAATATGGTTTGAGTAATATTTAAACATTATGTTACATTAGTTTACATAATTATTTTTTCTCAAATTAGTTATAAATTAATTATACTGCAGGAACAACAGTTACTATTTTTACACTCTATTTATCTTTTTATATAAGTATTATATATCAAAGTATATAAAACTGTCATTAAAATAGATAAAACAATTGACATGATGAAACATGATGTTATTAAAGTAGATAAAACAAATGTGACTATATATCTGCTATATTCGCTTGATTGAAATGAGAGTAATTTTAACATAATGCCGTGTATAAGATTTATTTTCACTGTTAAATATTACACTATATAAATTTCATTTGGCGGTGTAAATATAGGAAATGCTCAGCAGTTTTCGAATGGTATTCTTATATTTTTTCTCATAGAGATGTAGTTTTGTTAAATCAGTTATTTAATAAATACATACTTATAATTACCTGTGCATGACTGTGATTATATGCATACTTACTTCACAGAAATTGCATTTTTGCAGTACAAAAGTTAATAATTGAGCATTTTTCATCGAGAACTATACAGTGTATAAATATCTATTATGCTATAGATTTCGTTTACATAAAATTATTACATAAAGTCTCTGAAAGATTATATAGCACTAAATGTGAGGTACAGAATTGAGATACAGTTATATATTACACGCTATGAGATATTTCAGTAATTTTTAAACTGTGGGTTGAGAATCGGTGTTTGTTGAGTCATGTAAATTTTTTTCGTTACAATATATTTTATTATACTCTAGAGTGATTAGTTTTTCTTTATGTTGGAGACGTGAAAAATGTGCAATGCCCTCGCTGGGACTCGAATCTAGACCTCTCGAATACGCGCCATGTGTGCTACCGTTACATCACGAAAGCCTGCGGAAGGAGGGAGAAAATACCTTATATAATTGTTCACCACTTTTTATTCTGTTCGGGGGCCATTGTAGGGTCATTAGGTGTTTTTGGTGCTGGAGACGTTAAAAATGGGCAATGCTTTTACCGGCACTCGATTCTGGACCTCTTGAATTCGCCCCAAGTGTGCTACCGTTACACCACAAAGGCATGATGAAAAAGAGGAAATACCTTGTAATATTTTGGGTATTATTAAGTTTATTCTATTTTTATATTAATGTTTGTTTATATTCTGAGAAACACCAGTATCATTCAGAATATTGTAGGGAGGTGGTAGACATCGTAATTTTCTGTTATTATTTCTTCATATTCTACTTTTCTGCTTTTCTATCATGTAAAGCATCTATGTGTATGCGTTTCATAATACGATGTAGCGTGTTGTTATCAGTGGTAAGCTTTAAGGAGCCAGCAACTAACTTAAATTTGAACTCTTTGTTAACTCTTGTTGTTTTTGCTTGCCTATTATTGCATACTTTCCCTAGTAATAGTCTTTTGCTTCATGGAAATTAGGATTTTGTCTAGTTCAATTGAAATTTGATTTGGTGCATTGCAGATAACTTAAAATTTAAGATGTTAGAAATTACGTACCATGCACTGGCGATACATTGACAGTTCTTATAGGTACCAAATTTTTAAACACCAAGCTGATGTTGTGAAATCCCAATGTTAAATTTCCCAATAAAAGATTTCAGTTAAACAAATTATTACTAAATTACTTTTAATTTGCATTTGATCTTCTGAAACCCACGTAGATCTACAGGTTTTTACTATTATTTTTTTGCGAGAATTGGGCCTACAGGTACCGTACAGATCTGTTGGTTTTTTCTACAAGTACCTGTAAGCAAAAACCCTGTACAGTGTATTTACGGATTTGTACGGGGCATTTGTAGCAGAGGTGTTAAGCCTAACATGTGCTAGGTGATGAAATTAGATTAAAACAAAATTTTAAACTAATTATTAATACAAAAATAATTAGAAAAATCCTCTAATGCAACATTAAACATGAAGTAAAAATTAATAATTTGTGAAAGGAAAAAAAAAAACATCGAATTATTTGAATTATTTTCCTAGATACATTTGACATTTGTGTTTGTGTTTAGGATTTATATTCATGATTATATCTAGATCTATATATATCTATATAAACGAATAATTTATAATAAGAGAACTTTATAAACCATTTTAAACAAAATTATTCTTTTTGATTTACCCTGCATATTATAAGACAGTTTGGGCATTACAATACGAGATGACTGTAATAATTGGTTTAGTAAACATATACTAAACTTTTTTGCTGAATATGGACGACACGGCAGAACTTTCCTATATGTCTGAAGTCAGCTATTTTAAGCTGTGTGTGGCAAATTGCATTCTGGGACGGTGATTGGTCACGGGCTCTTGATGGGATTCTGAGGAGTCAGCGATTCAAAGTACCCTAACAAAGACTTCAGCTGAGCATATTATTCCATTTACCTGCATAATTACTGTGAAGTCGGGCCGGTTGGAAAATGCTTTTTAAGTGATTGTTATATGTTGCCTTCATGTTAGTCATTTCCTCTCAGCATCAGCTGCATGATTTAGGAAACGCAATCAAACACTGAAGACCATTGTGCTTGTTATATTTCTGTACCTAAAACACACATGAACACCTGAACTTTCATTCAACAAGCAGAGATATGCGCTTCTAATGCTATTTCAAGAAAACAGATGCGATTTTGGCGCATTACATTCAATAAGAAAATTGGGCTGCATTTTAGTTTTGATGGGACAAATGCATTTTACGTTATTCGACATAATATGAAATTTGTATAGGAAACAATTAATGCTAAGGCTTTGCTGTTATTAATACTTATAAGTTTTATAATGTACAAAATTAGAAGATTTTTGAGTTAAAACCTGATTATTAAAGCAGATCTTAAAAGATCAAGCAGTATAGCTAATTAAATATTTTAGTTTTACAAACTTGGGAATTACTTTCCCGATTGCTATCCGAAAGCCATAAATCACAAAACCTAACGAAGTCTAGCAAGTCAGTTAGTTATAAATAAGCTAAACAAAAGTTAAATAATGTTTGCAGTTTTATAAATTCAGGAACGAATAATCAGGAAAACTTACTAATATATTTGTCAATGTGGTTTTTCTTTGTGATGCAGTCTTATAGTATAGTAGTTTGACGATGCATCGATTAGTAGTTGGATTGTGTGTCACGATATATCGATGCACCATGATGTACGTATATAGCATAAAAAGTAATGTATGTAGACCGCTAAACAGTGATAGTACCGCTTTCCTTAGAACTCACCTTTTATGAATTTAACCTTATAACTTTGCAGTCATGTGACAACCAATCTTACTCAACCAATTCGTATTTAATATTTTTAACGGAATCAAAACAAATAGGAAGGTGATTATTGCAAAGCCTTATTAGATATGCAGAGATAATTATTGCGAAATAAATTATTTACTTTGAAACCTTTCTCTTAAGGTTGAGTAATTAAGAATGAAAGTTCTGCATGAGATTTAAAACATTTTTAAATACCTTTGAGGGTCTCAACCTGAACAGTGTAAAAAGCAAAAAATGGTTGGGCATAAGAAGATGTTCTCAATTACCTGTTTCTGTTGCAGAACGTAAATGCTGGTTTAACCACCTCAAACGGGTTACTCACCAAAACATTTACCACGGTGGGGTACGCGAAATACATTTGCAAGAAATTCAGCGTTTGGTAAGTGAAGCCAATAACGCAAATGATGAATACGAAAATCTTTATAGCCCTTTTTATCCAGCTTTTACTCGCTGCTATTTCTGGAAAACTTGTAATCAAAGAGCTTTTGAAAACAGTCCTGATATAGAAGCCAAAAGGAGGATATTTTTTCCCTCGGACATCCGACTTCAAAATCTGTTTTTTAGGAAGTTCTCCAACCTGAAATTTGAAATATGGACTAAAGTTATTTTACTTTATATTATATTTAAATAAAGAATTAGTAATATACTTTGTAAAATTTATTTATAAATTTTGAAGCTTTAAAGAAAGGGTTTATTAAACATGAAACTTAAAAAAAATAGAAATTAAATTGTCATCAAGTACTGATTACAAACGTCAAACTATTTAGGAAAGGGAAACATTTTAAGGTATTCTAAGGACTATGCCTTAGAGTGTACATAAAATACTTACTAGTAATAATGTATTTGATACGCAATAAATTTGTTTTAGATAATTTGATTTGCTCTAAGGAGAAAATTTATTACTGAATTTCTCAAAAGCATCTCTGTACAATAACACTTAATAAGACATATGATATTATAGTCATACATACTACACCTAGCAAACTAATTATAAAATGAGAAGAAATAGTTTAGGATAATTGTTTGGTTGACTGACAATTACTGATTGGAAGGTCTAGTTCTTCTCAAGACGTTTATGGTGTTTATCAAGCATTTAATAAGCCAACATATAGTGACTGAGTTTGCATAACAGCAGATTACCAGTTTATTCACAACTAAAGTCTCATTTTATTCATTCTGATTAAGCAAATTAAGATTTATGTATCAGATACAATCTCCAACAAGAAATAATTGTTATTTTTTAAGTAATGATTACTTGCAGTCGCCAAATGTTGTTGCGTATCCGTAAGTCTATAAATTTCATTATATTTTATTTTCCAGTTGGTTTTAGTTTCGCTTATTGGTTTATTTGATTATGGCAAAGCCCTCGCGGTATGCCTTCGTTGAGGACTTTCTAAGGGAAACTGGCTCGTGTACATGCTGCATATGGGGAAATAACGAAAACGCCCATGCAATCAGATAATCGAATCTGTTAGCAGATAATCAAACCCAGAAAGGAACTACCAGTGTTCAGCGACTTTACCGCTCGGCCGATGGTAAGCCTCTAATTGATTTTACATTCTTTGACCGTATGTTCAGTTTATCGCTATAAAGTTCAGATGTAGTTCAATATATCTCTTTTCTTTTGAAATTACAGCTTAAACGCTGAGAGGGAGAAAACTCATCTTACCAGAATTTAAGCTAAAACCTGCACCACGTTGCTTAGGGCTCCTTTTTATCGCAAGCAATACAAATACGAAAATTATTAACAAAGCAGGTATGAAGAGATCATAGAAATTTTTTGAAAATAATAGCTATAGGTTTTGTATATTTAAATACTGATAGGTTTTGTATATTTAAATACTGACCAAACACAGATTGAAAATTTAAGAGAATTTGCATATTTTACCAATTTTTTCGAAGTATACTGAAAGAAAGATATTAGTTGTACATTCAAACAAAAACTGAACATCTTTAGTGTCAAATATGCAAGCATTCGTGCATACGTGAGTGGAATATTTTGGTCAAGAGTCACAACTGTCAATGAAGATCGATATTCGTCCATTTCAGTGAGGCTTGCCACTGTAACAGCTTTCCAGCTTCCTCGTGACACAAAAATCCGAATTTCAAGAGTTAGGTTTTCAGAAGGCTATGTAAGAGAAGTACATCTGCTCGAAGACCTGATGTGCATATGAGACACTCATTTAGCATGGTGCAAAGAACGTCAGTTCTGGTCCAGCATTCGAAGATCAAAAATTATCTCCATGGATGAGGGCCAATACAGTTTAACCACCGAGTCTCGATATACCTGCATCTGAAGAGAACAATGGACACGTGCCTGCCCTCTAACTTCTAAGAAAGGGAGCAATATGCCAGCGGAGGTTTGATGGTCAGTATGTTGGATGGATGTATCGTCTTGTAGGTGGTTGACAGTTTTTTGCTCTGTGACTACTGCGAAGTTCAAGAAAGAGACCTTAGAACTACATGTTCGCCCTTTCGGATATGCAATAGTACAAGAGAGTGTTTTTATGTTCTAAATTCTGTTTAAATAAGCGGGTATTTTAACCTTCTAACGGCTTTGTCGTTTTTTTCAGACATAGCAACGATTCTTGTACTATGGATTTCAGTTCATTTTTATGGACGGTAACGCTCGTCTACAAAAGCTTAATCTGGTGCACGGTTTTCCAGAAAGTAAGTATTAATCTGATAGATTTGCTAGCCAGATCTCCTGATGTAAACTGTACAGAACATATTTCGAACGCTCTTGAGACAGCAACTATAACTCGTTTTCCTTCCTCCAACCGTCCAAGATCTTGGAAAGTTGCTGTAGACGTAGGATTTATCCTTTTTTTTGGGGGGGGCAGGTTCGACCCAGCCTAAATTCCAGACCTTCCCGCCAGTCAGTCTTATGCTCAATCGTGCGCTAAAATTTGTTTATCATTTCTGAAGGTATTCTAACAAACGTGACTATTCTTTTAATTTTGAACATCAGTATGGGCATGTAATTCTAGCTGCGATATATCTTAAAGTAAGGTAATAAATTTAATAGTACCAATTTCAAAACTGAGGGTAGTAAAGTTTATAAATAAATATGAAATAAATATGAAATATTCCTTCTTAAGAAAAACTCTGAACTGTAAAATATGTTGTCGTTGTCGTGACTTATCTCACTTGTGTGACAGCAGCTTTAGAACAAGCCCACGAAATTTATCGTCGCAAGGAAGGCAAGACTGCCACTATTGTTGGCAAGTACCTTGAACACCATACAGTACACCTTTGCTCAGTTCCGCCCCCAAATTTGATAAAGAGCACCCCGGGCCAACGAATCCGAGGGTCTCCCACCACGTTTTCTGCTACCATCAGCCTCTCAAGAGATCTTTCGACTCGCCGCATATCTAGAGTACCCCCATGCCGCACAAATACTATACATTTACAAATATTCATGTTTTCTCCAGAATTCAAATCCGGAGCCTTCAGTACGGCAGTCAGAGTCACTAACCACAATCCCGTTTGGGCGGCACTGCAAAATATTCGTTACGCTTTTGCGTTTTAAATCTTTTTGCGTTACACTTGATCTGATAATTCTAATTAGTCCGATAACACTAATAGACATGAAGAGAATCGTTGCTATGTCTGAAAAAAACGACAAAGCCGTTAGAAGGTTAAAATACCGCTTATTTAAACAGAATTTAGAACATAAAAACACTCTCTTGTACTACAGTGTAAGCCACAACTCGTGGTGATGCAATTAAAGAGAACAGTCAATTCAAGTTAAAAGTGGAACAGAAATCAAAGAATGCACAATTAATTACTATACTAGAAGCTAGCATACTATTCTACCGAAGCGTCAGAATTAAAATGTGGGTGGGAGAAAACGCAAATTCGAGTAATTCAACTTAGAGCTGGGAGAAAACTAACAGCTATCATGCACTCGATGCCAGAAACACTCCCTGTCTTAAAATCCAAAATCCCAGTTTAAGTATTGGCTACTCATTTGCATTCTAATGAAGAATACGAAGAGAAGAATTTATAATAAAGTTTGAAATCATAAATAATTGGCTAATTAACATAAAAGTCCTTACACTCTTCTTTGCAAAATTCACGCATTTATAGTGCCGATTAATTCTATTGCTTATTGTTGTTTACAAAACAACTCCTGATGTAGTCCTGAGCTGCAGAATACTGGTACCTTGACAAGGGTTGAAATTTCAGTGAACGGGGCTGGTTGCATGTGTGTTTTCTTGAATTTCTCAATGAGTAACGTGAATACGAATCAGTTTTGCTTAGCTCTTTTTAACACTGCATTTCTGAATAATTTCAAAACAACGTCGATGTCTGACTGTTAAATAAAAGCATAACGTACTAAAATCCGAAGTTTTATATTTTATTTCTATTTCTAATCTAATTTTATGACTAAGAATTTTAAAAATAAGCAGAATTATCATATTATAACTATTATAAGAGAATTTGAAAGTTTCATTGGAGATCTCTGGCACGTGCCCCGTAACTCCTGCAGAAATCTTGCTCTAATAAACTTACCTTATTAGATCTTCTCGGAATATTTGGAGAATATTCCCTTCGGTGGGAATTTTCCTCAAGTATTGCCTCTCGCATATCTCAAAGTCTTAACTAAAAAAATTAAATTAAATTAAAGATTGCTCCACCTCTTTATCATGAATTTTCCAGCTTTTGATTTTACTGGCTTTAGAGCTGGGGTTTTCCTAACGTATGCTCTTTTATGCTGGTTAGGTAGGATACACCCTGCCACGCTCGATAACCCAATTAAGAGCTTTAAGGGGGAAAATATCAAGGATAGGGTAACCTAAAGTATCTAGTAATTTTTAGTAATAATAAATGACACCATGAATTTTAGATAAACCCTACCAACATACCTTTATGTTTTCTGGAAGTGCTTTAGTTCGATTATTTTCTTTCTAACACAAGGGGCATTTGTCATTAGCTTTCGAATTCAATACTGGTGGCAGAGCATAATTTCTTGCAGTATAATATCGAGTGTAGAAAGCAAATTAAAGAAAATAGAGATTGAGATGTGATTTGAAGCGTTATATATTATTCTGAAATAATACATTTTTCAAGATAAATTATGTATAATGCTAAGATTTGTACATGACTTTAGCGAGAGGTTTTAAATTGTGACACTTAAAACTGATTAATATTGCAGTAATATTAACAGGTTTTGCAAAGGGATATCTATGTATTAGAAAAACCAATTTCGAAGTACTATGAATTGTTGTGAGAACTTATAATATTCCATTGAGATTAGTAATGAATATAAGCACGCAATTATCTCGTTAGATGTAGTGGACTAGTAACGGGGAAAGAAGGGTTCACAATAGAACTCTAAATTTCGATGGATTTTAAAATGCATCTCAGCTGCTTTCTATTGACTTGAAAAATTTTAAACTAAAAAGTTCTTAGCCATCCAGCAGTTATACATGTAAACACAAATTTAAATCTCAGAGAAAAGCACATAATTTTACTATCCAAGGACTAGGAAATAAATTCATGAAAACGTTTTATTGCGATTATAAAACTCTGATAAAGATACTCTAAAACACTATATTTTAATATTCATGTCTGTATTTAAATATAAACAGAGCCGGTGGCAATTGTTTTTCTTTAAGGAATAAAAACCACATTTGATAGTTAATGTTTCATGTTATAAATATATTTTAGAGGTTCGCAAGATTTATAATCATACGTTTTATATAATTGATTTCATGACGTTTTACACATGTTTAATTGCATTTTTATACAGCCCAGGAATTTATTACATTTAAGTTATGATAAATATACAAGCATGAAGGCGAAGGCCTTGTATTCGTTTATTTCATCATCTCGTGCACGATTTATTTTAATTAGCATGTCTATTTTTTTTTTTTTTTTTTTTTTTTTTTTTTTGAGTTAAATCGTTCCTGTACATTTCATGAACTCTCTCAAAAATATAAATTACTTTTCGTTTAACATAAATTCGTTTCAATAACGAGCGACATTAAAGTAGAAAATAAGCGTTTTTGAACAACAATGCTGTATCTCAGATTCTACCTGCCGATTCTGCCTGTGCTTGTTAACGGTTCTTCCTACAGATTCTACCTGCCAATTTTGTCTGTGATTGTATACGAGTTTAGCTCTCATTTGTAGTTACGTTAGAAGACATGTTAACATTGCAGCCTACTTCTTGGTTTATTTCATTTCTAAATAATATTTCATTTCTAAACTATAAATGTATCCTCTGGTCGCAAGAAGCGGATATTATGCTTCTATCAACCACTAACACTCGTAATTTCAAAATTAAAATAAAATAAATGTTGTTATTACATTAAGATTAGTGTAATACTTTCTGTTATTGGATTCTGAACTAAACAGGAAATTAGACTTCTTCTGTCAATCTAGAAATGTTATTTAGTGTTTAGATTAAAAGTAGATTTTGCCACCTTATAATTACACTTCGTGAAAGAGCACTGTAATGAGCGTAACATGTTTAAGTTCTTAAATATTTTTATAATAATATATAAAAGATAAATTTAATATATTATTAGCTCGTTGTATTTCCGTTGGAAATAAAAGAAATCCACCCGTTTTCCTTTTAAAATTTCCTGACACTTAAACAGAATGCTCCTGTAAAGTGAGAGTAATGGCATTAGGAAATGGCGTTAGTTAAAAACAGTTACCATTGTATTACGAAAAGATGTTCTTAGCATTCTTAAGCCTCTATGATATGTATACTAAATCTTACTAAATAATATCTCATTAATTATCATGATCCTTCCATAGTATGAGTTATGAAAAAGAATAATTTTTCTGAAGTGCTTTTGATGGTTTTCAGGGTAACAACATGTGATTTAAATTTCTGTATGATTTTTGGAAGTGAAACATATCTTAATATATGTCTCTTACAATCTACATGATCTCAGAGATTAAATTATTATAATTTTTTCCTTAGTTCTGTTTTTGCAACGATATTTTTTTAGAACTACATTTATATATATTTTTCTAAAGCATGAAATTTAAATTTCTGTATGATTCCTGGAAGTGAAACATCTCTTAATATACAGGGTGTTTATAAAGTCCCGGACCCATTTTGATGTTTAATAACTCCTAAAATAATGAAGCTATAAACAAACTTACGGCATTTATTGATGGAATAACTTATATCTGTACTTTTCTAAATATCGTCTGCTTATTAATTTCATTTTTCTCTCTTTTGTTTTTGGCATATTTCTGGCATTGTTAATCGCCATAATGTGCGCATATGGGGGATCTAAAAACACCCATGAATACCATGAAGCACAAAGGGATTCCCCAAAGATTAATGTGTGGTGTGGACTAATGCACGACCGAGTCATTGGGCCTTTCCTTTTTACAGAAAAGACGATGTCATCAGTCATGTACTTAGGCATGTTGGAAAACTTCAATTTCTATTTCCACAACTAGAAGAGCTTCAGCCACATGTCTTTTTGCAACAAGATGGTGCACCATCTTCATTGGGGTACCATCGTTCGTAGTTCTTTGAATGACCATTTTACAGGAAGATGGATTGGGCGAGCAGGTCCAATTCCTTGGCCACCCAGATCACCTGATATAAAGCCGCTGGACTTTTTCCTTTGGGGATTTGTAAAGGACAGCGTTTACAGGAGGAGAGTGTCGAACATTGATGACTAAAAGCCAGAATTACAACCGCAATAGCCTCTGTGGATGCCGATATGCTTGCCGGTACCTGGCGTGAAATTGAATATCGACTTGATATTCTCCGTGCGACGAATAGGGACACAAGTGGAAGTTCATTGACAAAGGTCATGAAACTTTTTGAGTCTATCTAACCATTTATGTTATTAATTTTAATCTATCTTTATTATTTTTATGAGTTATTAAACATCAAAATGGGTCCGGGACTTTATAAACACCCTGTATATCTCTTACAATCTGCATGATCTTAGGGATTAAATTATTATAAATTTCCTCTTAGTGTTGTTTTTGCAACGTATTTTTCTTAGAATTGCATTTACATATATTTTTCTATATCGTTAGAGGTCCACCAGCGGCCGAGTGGTAAAGTCGCTGAACACTGGTAGTTCGGTCCGAGGTTCGACTCCCACAAACGGGCTGGCTGCATGGGCGTTTTCGTGGTTTTCCCCATGTGTAACGTGTATATGAGCAAGTTTCCCTTAGAAAGTCCTCCACGAAGGCATCCCTCCCCCTTAAGCAGATAGCCCTCGAGGCTTTGCCATAATCACACACATACTATATCGTAAGATAGGGGAGTTGTGGCATGATTTTTAGTTTTAGGAGTTTAGGAATGGTGTTTGAGGCTTATGATATAAGTTTGCCCTTTCATAATTATTGACGTTTAGAAGTTCTAATTTGTTACAATAATTCTTAATTTTCTTGGATACGTTGATTCGTTGGATATATCTAATAGATACTCTGAAGGATGAATTTGCAGCTTTTGCGAACTGTTCCTTATTTTAAAGGTATTTGTATGTAAGAGAAACTTTTTCCCATTTCATTCAAATAAATTTGAAGACATAGATTGCGACTGTTCCCTGCTGCCGTAATAAATCAGTCGCGAAAATTTGAAAGTTTGACATAATATTTGTATTATATTAAGTTGAATATACAAATATTTTTTAAATACTGTTATCATTATATTTTTGTACAAAATGTTTTACAAGATACGCGACAAAATATCTTTTAAATGACTAATCACACCTGGGTGACAATATGTTAAAAAAATCAATTGTTATTAGTACCTTAACAGTGCATCATCTTTAGTAAAAATATGTAAAGTTCAAATTTATATATTTGTCAGAAGAAAGAAAATTTTGTCACTAAAGTGTTTCTCATAGCTGCAGTATTCAAAAGAGAAGCAATCCAACCTCAGAAGATCAGAATTAAATGTGATGTCAATATTAAAATTTAAGACTTATTTGGTATCAAAAAAGCTGCGCATGTTAAAATTTAGTTGCAAGTTTAACGATGTCCTTTACATGTAAAAGGATTTATTTCAATTTTTTACCCCCTGAAATGAAAAAGCATTTATGCAACAAAATTCGACTTTAATACCTCTTCACCTAAAGAAGTCGCTTTAAAAAATAACATTGATAATAATTGCAGGGTCTAATTTGCATACTGCACTCTAAAACTGAAAGTCATTTTAGTAGAATAAGGACAGTCTAGCTTATTTGGGTTA